AGAATCCGAAGTAGGCTCCCAGCCATTAGCACAGAGCCCCGACGGTGAGATCATGACCTGAGCCGAAATCAAGAGTCAGATGCTTAACCGACTGAAAAGACTTAAAGGAAAAATTTGGTTTGGGTTTTATTTGGGGATACAGCATGGCCTAGACTAAGGTAAAGGGAACGAAGTAAGTGAGCCTTTGCCTAGAGCACAATATTTTTTACAATTAGTCAATCACCCAGGTGCCCCAATGATTGACTAATTTGATCATGGTAGTAATTATATGAATTACTGATACTGTCTTTCTGAAACACTCAAAGGCAAAAGCATTCTATGTTGAATGCGTATTAATGTATATAATGAATATTGAATATTCAAAGCATTCACATGTTAAGGATAAAAAAACAGAAATCCATTTTTGGCAAAAGAAAAGTCTATGCTTAGCCTTAGCTGCACTATCCTTACTTCAATGAATAATCACATATGCATTTAACAAATGTTTATTGAGCACCCACTATAAGCCATGTCTAAATTAGGTGCTCCAAGCATAATGGAATGATTAAATGGAATTTTTATACAGGAAAAGGGGGAGCAGAAAAGGACTACTTTTTGGTACATATCTACTTATGAGGTAATTACGGTATACATTTTCTCATTTAATCCTCACATTATCCTTCCTTTGTAGATGGGAAGACTGAGTCTCAGAGAGATTGTATAATTTGTCCAAGATTGTCCAGCTAGAAAGTGGCAGAACTAGATCCAAACCCAAATTTGCCTGATTAAAAAAAAAAAAAAAAAAAAAAAAAGCCCATACGCTATTATTATAATAAGACAATTCAAATGTCTACAAAGACTCCAAGGAAACCTAGAAGATATTTATAAATGGGAAAATGAAAATATAAAACTTACTAGATTAAAACTATGTAAAAATATGTTTACATTATGTGTGAATAAAGAGTAAAAGGACGTCATATGGGAATTGCAGCTGAAGGTAACATGCTCTAAAAATTACATGATACAATATAAGATATAGCAAGAAGTCAGTTTAAAATGAATTAAAAAAATCTAGGTATCACACTTGTATTTTTCACTGTATAAAATATAACAGAAAAGAGTTCTGTATATGGTATGATTGTCACTGAGATTGAAGACTTACAAGAGAGACTTTAGTTATGATTAATCTGAGCTCCCACATCCTATGAGGTCAATGGTTTGGTTACCATCAATTCTCCCAAACCAACAAAATGTTATCATTACACATGACCTATCCAAATATATAATTGGAACTAAAACTTGGAAGTTTATACCTATAATTTAACAAAAGGTCACAGCATGGTCACTGAATGTAAATAAAACAATTACATAGTTTTGTATTTTCTTTACTATATGCAGTGGCCAGGTACTTCATCTTTTATATTAATGGCTTTCGGCTGACTTCCCTATTTAAGAATACCAAACTCTAACTCACATTCATTAATACACAAACTTGGTTGGTGGAACATGAATCCCAAGACTTCATAAAGTCTTAGGTTTGAGAAGTGAAAAGAAATAAAATACCAGGGAGGGAGTTACCTACATTTGAAATAGTTTACAACAAAGAGCAGTTTTACTAAACATTGGACTTATTCAGTCACAAAATGCAGTCACTTGATCTGAGAAACAATAAGACATGTTCAACTTTTTAAAAATTCAAAATGTTAAAAAAATAGCAAATGAGCAATAATTATAGATAAGGTACAAGTGTTAAATCTCACTATTTTTCCAATTTTTAGGATAAGTGGTGCCTAATATTTGGTTAGAAAAACCTACAAAACTACTCCCAGGTTTTGTTAAATTACAGTTAACAGTAGAATGTATTTGCAACTTTAAGAAACAACCAGCATTTTACAGGAAATTAGTACTCACTTGATAATCATTTCTCTTAATATTTGGAACATCCATGTTGTGAGTAGAGGGACAAATATCTTCATATTTTTTGCCCGTGAAAATATCAATTCCAACAAGGTGAACCTAGCAGAAAAGGGAGAACAGGAAACCTGTTTAATCTTTGCCAAGTATATCACTCATTACATACACAAGAGCACAATACCAAAGCTGATTATGACAGATTCTTTCTCCTTCCAAGGTCATCTTATTTTATTTTCTTAAAAAAAAAAAAAAAGTAGTGGTCATTGACTTGAGAAGCAGTGAACCAAACTAAACAGTATCATGACATATCCAGACCCAATATCATATATAGTCCAGTAATTCAATTATAAGATGCATAAGAAAAATGAAGTTATGTTAGAACACGTTTTCTCATCTGAATAGATTATTCTAAGTCACTAGGATTTCAGGAAAGTTTCATTTCCCAGTTAAATGAAACATTATAAGGGCCCCAAAAGCAAATGCTATATTTCAGTATGCAAAGCAATAGCTGGTCACCCGGTAACTGTGGGAAGAAAAAATTGTGATTATTACAAAGTTATAAATATGGAAATCTCATGTTCCGCACTGTAATTCAAATGATTAAAACCCCAACGCAAAGAGAGACCTGGAAGGGCACTTACCTTGGCATGACCGTGCTTTCCAGTTTTGGAAGTTGACATCTCCACTATTTTGCATGGTCGTCCTTTGAGAACCACGAAGCCGTTTTTGCGCAGGGCCGAGCACTGCATTGGGTAAGTGCTGGAAGCCCCAGCATCTCCAGTAGTGAAATCAATTTCATCCGCCATGGTGGGCTGGGGAGACGCTAGCTTTTCCCAGGGAACTACACAAAAAGTTTGTGTTTGCTTTTTAACAACGGGAACGCAGGCAGGGAATTTCGGACAGGTTACGTACCAAACATCATGGATCTATTATTTTTTCATTTATAGAACACCCACAAAAGAATAGGGGGCACTTCTAACTCCGGCCTCTACAAACTTTTCCATCCATTGGTGGGGAGGTAGGGAGGGAGGTCGCAGATGAGCTCCTAGCGGGTGGGGGATACCCGCCCTGGGCACTCACCGGCGCGGGGAGCAGCAAATCTCGGCCCCCGTCGTCCCACCGCAGGAGAAACCGGCGACCTTCCCGCACAGCGCCGCGCCGCGCCACCCGGCCCTCCGCCGCCGCCCTTATCCTCACTGCGGGGGACCCAGCCCAGGCCGCACATCCCCGACAAGGATGGGGATAACAGGACTTGGTCCACAGCACCTGGCCCCCAGGCAGCAGGCGTGCACCCCGCCCTCCAGCCTGCGGCGCCGTCGCCCCGGCCTCTCAGGCGCCCCCTTGTCCTGCCGGCATCCTTGGCCCGGCCCGGCCCGGCCCCGCAAGGGCCTGAGCCCTGGCGGGTCCCGCGCTCTCCTCCGTTCCCCCATCCATCCTTCCTCCTTCCCTAGTTTTGGACTCGGCTCCGGTCGCCTTCTCCGGCCCTGCCTCGCTCCGGTCCCGGCCCTACCAGCTTTTCCCCATGTCTTCACCTTTCAGCAGGGAAAGAGCTCCTTTTGCCTGCGCACCGGCGCCGGTCCCCTACAGCTGCGGCGGCGGCAGCGGTGGCGGCCCCGGCAGTTCCAAGAGACGGGGCGGGGCCGCCACACTTTCCACACCCCGGCCTCCCCGCCCTTTCCCGCCCCCACCACAGCCCCACTTCCGGGATAGGTCCCGGCGCGTCACAGGCACCGCCCTCTCGGGCTACCATTGGCTACAATGTTCACGAGGTCCCGCCCAGTCACGTGAAGAGCGCCCTGGCAACCCCACGTGCTGCGGATTAGGCACTTCCGGCGTGAGGAGCACTTTTTGGAGTCCGATTGCTGAGGGTGAACTTAAAGGCAAGGAAACTTGCTACCTCAAACTTTTATGTTGGTTGCACTCGGGTCCAAGTTGAAGTTAACAGGAGCCAAACCACGCGTTCTGTGGCCCCTGCCATCGGATGCGTGGTGGTTGTCACGTGACAGTTGTCAGGCCCTGTGAGGGACACGGATTCAACGGGTGCCCTGCGTGGTTGTGGGAGGAGATTTGGGGTCGAACTTCTGGCTCAGGTTGATGGTCGAAACCACACTTGGCTCCTCAAGGAAGAGCCCAAGTGCAGTATTTTATTACCGGCTTTAACCTGTCGGCTCACAGGGGACCCCGGCCATCCGTGATGAGGTTCTGGCAGTGACTGCCACTGGGTGCCTGGGCAGGGTCAGCAGTGCCTTCTGGGGTGGGAACTCCTGAGACATCTGTGACCCAGATAACAGCAGTGAAATGACCCAGCTCATTCTTCACACTAGGCTGTTACGGAGTTGTGAAGGTGAATGGTGAATGCCTACCTCCTTCCTTCGTCACGGTCCTGTCCAGAAACTCAGACCAGTCCAGTTCTGAGAAACTCGGCTCTTCTTTCCTCTTGGTATTGGTATTTGAGTTTGAGGTATGTTCAAACCTCAGTAGAGCTGTTGGGTTGTCTTCAAAATAGACCAGGAGCCAATAGAGACTTGACTAGGATTAAGGACCAAGGTTCTTAAAAGAGATGCGCCCCCTTGTGTTCCGTTTCACAACGCACTGCTTTCTACCTTGGGGAGGTGACCTATACTCCCCAGTATGTGGTCCTGTAATTTTGTATTGCTGTCTTTTGAGTAGCCAGTCACGTTCTCACATTACTATGTGGCCCTATGGTTTGCACAGGTATTTGACATATGTTGAATTCAAGCTTTATTATAAAAAAGTGAACTCCCATGAACGGAATTCAGCCTCTAGCTAATACATGAAAGAGTCGAATTAGAACCCTGGTTCATGAGTCCACTCTGCTTTTCCTTACACTGTCTAACCTTTCCCTGTCTAATGTTATTAGAATGATTGCTAGTATGTAAAGAGTATTTATGCAAGTAGGTAGACATAAAATGTCTTATGTGCATTATTCCTTTAATCTTAACTGTTACCCGTTTTTTAACCCCAAATTTATTTTTTTTTAATTTTTTTCATCTTTATTTATTTTTGAGAGAGAGAGAGAGAGAGAGAGAGCATGAGCAGGGGAGAAACAGAGAGACAGAGGGAGTCACAGAATCTGAAGCAGGCGCCAGGCTCCAGGCTCCCAGCTGTCTGCACAGAACCCAATGCAGGACTGGAACCCAGGAACCTGAGCTCATGACTTGAGCTGAAGTTGGACGTTTAACTGACTGAGCCACTCAGGTGCCCCTTAACGTTAAGTTTACTACGTTATAATTTCTACAAATTAAAACTTACCCTTTTCAGTTTTGTGAGTTTTGAAAAACAGAAGTAGTTCTATAACTATGACTTCAATCAAAATAAAGAATATTTCCCTGATTCCAAAAGTTCCCTCCTTTTTGTGGTCAGTCCCCTCCCCCTACCCCCAGCCCCTGGAAACCATTAGCAACTACTGTTTTATCTACATTTTTAATTGTGAGAAAAAAGCAGAGAAAAGTATTTTGGCCAAACTCACACAGCTAGGAAATCAGAGAGCCAAGATTGAACTCTAGGCAGCTTGGCTCCATAATCACTACTTTAACTACTGCTGCATTTGCATAAGATTTGGATTTGGAATCAAATGATCCAGCTTCATTCATTCAACACATACAGTCAATTCTAGTGAAGTTGCTGGAACACTGAATCAGCAAATACTGAACCATTGTTCCTAGGGGAAGTGCAGAGTTAGGTTCCTGTGAGTCTCTGGTCACAACATTTTTGTGAACCAGCCAATATATAATCTTGTTTTATGTGTGTTTCAGTTTCACCTTACTTAATACGTATTGATTCATTAACATTTAACTCACAGCCAACAGCACTATAATTATTATGCCTGAGTGGAGCTTATCTAACACATGCATTTTCTCCATAAGGTACATCACAGCCTTCTTGTGCTTAGAAGCACTAGACGGCGTTTCAGCACTATGCTTCAGAGCCATTGTAAACAGCCAAGTCACCAACAAAAGTCACAAAAATGTGAAAAGTGGTGCTAATGGACTGAAAAGAAATACTTGTTGAATTTGACAGCTGTAGCAAGAAGGCAGAGCCTCACCTTGTTTGACCTCAGCTAGGAAAATATGCATTGGACGACTTCTATCTTTTGCTGTTCTGTGCTTGTCCATAACTGACTGAAAGCACTGCTAGTCCTGATTATAAGTAAATTGAATCCATAGGCAGAGCCACAAATATGGAATCCATGAATAATGGGGATTACTGTTTTTATTTTAATACCTTTAGCACTGGAATTACCATGTTTACCAAGACAGCCCCCTGTTCGTTAGGTGCTTGCAGTCTACTATATGATGCAATTTAGCAATTTTTACAGATAAAATAAATACAAATAAATAACTACAGGGTTCTGAAAAAAAGGATCTCTTCCTCATCTAGTCTAGGTGTAATCCAATAGAAATATGATGTAAGCCACATATAATTTTGAGTTTTGTTGCAACCATATTTAAAAAGTTAAAGGGGATAAAATTAATTTCAATAATATATTTTACTTAACCCAGTACATCCAAAAGATTTCTTATGTAACCAATATAAAAATTATTATTAAGATAATTTTATAGTTTTTTTAAACTGATCCTTCAGTCTCTGGTGTAGGGTACATCTCAATTCAGACTACCCAGACTACCCATATTTTAAGTGTTCAATAGGTATGATGGTGTCTATCATATTGGACACATCACAGGTCTAGAAGATTTCAAGACTGCTTCTCTAGCAGTGAATATATTAATCTGACATGAAAAAAAATTAGTAGAAGTTAGCAATGAGGAGAGTTTTGGAAAAGGTATTTTAGGCAAAGGGATACAAAGACTTGTAGATGAAAGAATTATAGCATCATCCTGGACTGTAAATGTTTCAGTGTGTCTGGTGCATACTGTAAAAAGAGATAAGTGAACTTGAATTTTCTCCCAAGTAAACCAGAAAGATATTGAAATAGTACATATAAGAAAATAACAAGAATGTAGCTTTCATTTAGAAATACACTTCTGGTTATGGTATGGAGGATTTGGGGGGAGGAGAAAATATTGGAAATAGGAAACTGATTAGGAAGAAATAGTTATGTTGGTGAACAAAGGTGGTGACTATGAGAACATAGAGAGGACATATTCAAGAGAATTACGTGAAAAATGGAAATAGTGTTATAATTAATTAAATGTTAGGGGTCAAAATGGAAAGAGAGATGCAGGGTATGAGGAAGAGGATACAGTAAAAAACTGGGAGAATGATGCTACCATTCATTGAGATAGAAAATATAACAGAAAGAGCAAATTACCAGGGAAAGTTGAGTTTACTTTTGGGCAGATTGAATTTCAGCTTCCTATGGGAGATATATGTATATATCTTAAATAGAAATGGACATTTGTGAATCATTAGTATATAGATGATTATTAAAGCTAAAGCAGGAGACTTACTTCAGCCTTAAGGACACAGACTGAAAGTGAAGGGATGCAAAAAGATAATCCATGCAAATAGAAACCAGAAGAAAGATGAGATAGTTATTCTTCTATATCAGACAAAATAGACCTTAAGACAGACTGTAATAAGAGACAAAGTTATATAATGATATGGGGGTGAATTCAGAAAGAGGATATAACATTTGTATATAATTATGCACCCAACATAGAAACACCTAGATCCATAAAGGAACTATTAACAGACCTAAAAGTAGAAGTGGACAGCAATACAATAATAGTAGGGGACTTCAATACCCCACTTTCAACAATGTATGGATCATCCAGATAGAAAATCAGTAAGGAAGCAATGGACTTATACTACACATTAGACC